GAACGTGCGGGGTATCAATGACAGTAACAAAAGACAAATTATCAAGGGTGGTCTGAACAGATGGAAACCAGAGGTTGTGTGTTTATAGGAGTAAAAAATGGAAGTAGTTGAGAGTAAGACAGTGAGACGTCTATGGAATAGAAAAGAGGTGAGTTGGAGTGTCTTCTCATCCGTCGGTGCCTCGGGGGGTATCATCATTATGTGGGATGGTTGCATAATGAACTGTGTTGATAGCATCCTTGAGTCCTGTACATTGTCGTGCACCTTCATAGATATCCGAAATGGGATGGAGTGGTTGTTCACTGGTGTCTACAATCATGGGGAAGGGAGGGAGCATGCTCTTCTGTGGAGGGCTCTTGAGGGGTGCAAATCCAGATGGAAGGGGCCTTGGGTGATCGGGACTTCAATATGGTTCTAAACAGCATGGAACGCACTGGTGATCATTTTAACAGAAAATGTGCCGAGGAATTTAAAGAAATCCTGAAGAAGCTTGACCTGATTGACCTTTCTCTGATTGGGGGAAGATGGACATGGACCAAACAACGATTATGTCCTGCGAGTTCCATAATTGACAGGTTTTTGGTGTCTATTGATGTACATTATAATTTTCTTAACTTATGTCAAAAAAGGTTAAGCAGGTTAACCTCAGACCACTTTCCCATATGTCTGGAGGCAGATGACATTCTTTGGGGCCCTTGCCCCTTCCGGTTCGATGTGAAATGGATGAAAGTTAATGAATTCAAAGATATGGTTAAGGTGTGGTGGGAAAGCTCATACCCTGTAGGCATGCCCAGCTTTATAATTGTGCATAAATTTAAGCATCTGAAAAAAAAAATTTAAGCAGTGGTGTAGAGATGAGGGTATGAAGACTGAGCTTCAAATGAGCACCATGATGAAGGAAATGAGCAGCATGGATAAAAAGGAGGAAAGTCCTCTGCTGGCTGAAGAGTGCTTACATAGGGAGGCACTAAAAGAAAAAATTGGCGTCTTTCTACAAATGGAAGAGGCTAACTGGAGTCTGAAATCAAGGGAAAAAAGGTAAAGGAATGGGACAGAAATACCAGATATTTACACTGCCTTGCAAGTCAGCATAGAAGAAGTAATTTAATTGGCTCACTTAGGTTCGGGAAGGAGGAGATTGAAGGAAACCAGAACTTGAGGGATAAAGCCAGAGAGCACTTTGCCAAGTTATTCACTGATACCACGGAGTGAAGGCCTACTCTAGACGACTTGTCTTTTAATTGTCTGGATATTGAATGCAGCCAGGATTTGGAAAAATTATTTACTAAGGAAGAAGTCCTTCAAGGGTTAAAAGATTGTAACAGAGAAAAGATGCCTGGGTCAGACGGTTTCCCTATTTGTTTCTTGCAAGACCTCTGACCAGTGATTAAGACGGATGTGTTGAAAATATTTGAAGATTTTCATAGGACTGAAAAATTTGTGAAGTCTATTAACTCCACTTTTATCGTCCTCATTCCAAAAGTGAGTGGAGCCACTACTATTAAGGAATTCAGACCTATTAGTTTGGTTGGTAGTGTGTATAAATTGATTGCCAAAGTTTTGCCTAAAAGAATGGCAAAGGTTCTGGACAGCATCATTGGGGGACACAACATGCATTTGTTGGGGGCAGGCAAATCTTGGATGCAGCACTTATAGCCAACGAATTAGTTGATGAACTGCTTAACAAAAAAAGAAATGGTGTGCTGTGCAAGCTTGACATGGAGAACGCCTATGACAATGTAAGTTGGTCTTTTGTTGATTATATGCTTAGGAGTCTTGGTTTTGGTGTTAAATGGAGAAAATAGATCACCACTAGTATTACTTCTGTCTCATATGTTGTGATTGTCAATGGTAACCCCTCAAAATTTTTTAGGCCATCAAAAGAGTTGAGACAAGGGGATCCCCGATCACCATTCCTGTTCATAGTGGCAATGGAAGCTCTTAACAGAATGATCCTGAAGGCTAGAGAGCAGAATCTATTTTAAGACTTGAAGGTTGGGAAAGGTGACTCTAAGGAAGAAATAACTCATTTATTTTTCACTGATGATGTTCTGTTATTTAGCGAACCAGATTTGACAGCCTTGTTGAACATTAGATGTATCTTAATGGGGTTCCAAGTGGTTTCTGGATTGAAGATTAACTTGTCAAAATCTGAATTTGTGGAGTTGGGTGAAGCGGATAACAAATCATACCTGGTTGAGGCTTTGCGATGTAAGAAGTCTAATTTGCCAATAAAGTATCTTGGCTTACCTTTGGGGATAAATTATAAAGACCGAGGGACTTGGGATCCGATTATCAGCAGAGTTGAAGGAAAATTGGTTGGTTGGAAAAGAAACTTACCTTCTAAAAGTGACTTTCTTAGACTTGTCAAGAGCACTCTCAGCAATCTGCCAATTTACTACCTATCTTTATTGTCTATCCCTTGCAGTGTGGCTAAAGGTTGGAATCTTTACAAAGTAACTTTTTGCGGGGGGATAGGGAGGATGGCAGAAAATTCCATCTTGTGGCTTGGAATGAGCTGAAAAAAACCTTACAAAATGTGGTCTTGGGATTAGATCTTTGGTGGAAATGAATATTATTTTGCAAGGAAAATGACTATGGCGCTTTATCAACAAGGAAAAAGCTTTGTGGAGGAGAGTTATTGCTTCGAAATATGGAATTGATGGTTCTGGTTGGCTAACTACTGGGGTGGTGAGAAATCACAGAAAGGATCTATGGAAAAGCATTTTAGATGGTAAAGAAAAATTCCTTAGACATATCATATGGAAGCTGGGTTGTGGGGATAAGATCAGCTTCTGGGAAGACGAATGGCTGGAGGGAGGCCTCCTCAAGGACAGATTTCCTGCAATTTTTGCTATTTCTGAGAATAAAGTTGTCCGAGTGAGTGCTTGCTTTCTTAATAGTCAGACTAGGGAGGGATCTTGGCAGGGGGTGGTTAATCATAATCTGAACGATTGGGAAATTCCTGAGTATGAAAAGTTGTTGGAGTTACTGTCAGAAATCAGGCTGAATAATATTGAAGATAAACCCGAATGTAAGATCACAAAATGGTTCTTTCTCTGTCAAATCTTGGTATAAGATTCTAAGGCAGGGGGAGGTTAATCCATATCACAGTGGGGTCGATACAGTGCCATTTCCTTACAAACTCATCTGGAAAATTACAGTGCCTCCAAGGGTTTCATTCTTTGCATGGGAAGCTAGCAGAGAATGTATTTTGAACATAATTAAGCTTAGAAGGAGGGGGTCAACCTTGGTAAATGCTTGTTATCTCTGCAAAAACGCCGAGGAAGACTGCAGGCACCTTCTTTTACATTGCCCTGTTGCATATCATTTGTGGTGTATGGTCTACAGATAGCTGGGTATTAGCCGGGTTTGTTCGGGTTCTATCAAGAAGAGATTTGGGCTTGGAGCACTCAGTAACAGTGTACCCTTGCTGATTGATTCCCATTTCCCTTATGTGGACTGTGTGAGAAGTTAGGAACTGTAAGGCCTTTGAGGGACTTGATGACACTAATGATTTTGACGTACTGAAGAATAGATGGCTTAGTAGCCTAAATGTTTTGCTTACGGGTCATCCTCCGGTATATTTTGAGTCATTTAGGAAGATTATTGGTATGGAGGACTAAGCAGTAAATAATTGTACATGCTTTTCATCTCTGGTGCTTATACTAATACTACTCTACAACTTTTCACTTCAAAAAAAAAAAAGAGAGAACCCGATAACAAAAAAACCAAAGATTTAGAACCATCTATTCTTAAGTCAAGACCATTCACATCACCAAACCCATCAAAAACCCTTTTATTCATCTCTTTCCACACTGCCCAAAAGATGGGAAACGATGTTACGTCTGCTTGTTTCCTTCGTCCCTAGATGCCCCTCCATGCCCAAATTTTGTGAACTAAAAGTTAGTTTCAGGTTATAGAAGAAAATGATTTGTAAAGAACTAATATACAATAAAAGACAAATTGATCTAGAAAATATTAAAAGAAAAATTTAATCCCTTTATTTATATGTTAAATACTTTTGAGTATCCTATTAGGATTCTTTAACTATAATTATACTGGGTTTTCAAGTAAAGTACTACAAATATCCATATAATCTCACACTTAAGATCAATCCAGTTATTCGGTAAAAAGTATTTTGAGAATTTTCTCACTATTTTTCGATTGTGTAATCCAATTAATTCTTAAGTGTGACTCTTAAGAGTCCCTTTTTAAGGTGAGCAATTAACTCTTACATGTGAGCAACTAATTCTAAGAAACCCTGATCATCATATCTAGGTACAATTTAGGTTTCCCACAGATTTCTTAACAGGTAAATCAATTCCAAACTCTAATTATCTAACATCAACTTAGTTCAATTCTGTTGCTTGCTTAACAGGTGAAGACAGAGAACCAAATGATGAGAGACAGAGAAGCAAATGATGAGATCTACAAAATATTGAAGTTCAAAGACAAACCTGTACTTCAGATGAGCGTTTTGTCTTTAAAGTTAAACAATCAACAAGAGCGCTCCACTTTTCGGAGCAGTTGTCAAGAACTCCAAGCCGATAATACCTCTGCATTTGATGAACTATAGCTGCCAGAAGATATATGTTGGTTGGTTGAGATTCTAATGTTGAGAAAGATGAATGAAGGAACGAATTATTTCAAAAAAAAAATGAATGAAGGAACGAAATAAATGGTAACTCAAAGAGCTCAAAATTCAATATTCGATAAAGCTTTTACTAGAATACCGGTGCAGAGAAATAAGTAGA